TTTTTTTTTTTTTTTTTTACAACGAAGACATGGAATGCAAAGAACGGTTAAAGAAAAATGTAAATAGATTGGCTATGTTAAAGATTAGAAGCCTAGAAATTATCTATGATCTAACAGTAAATGGGTTCTTAGAAGATAATCTAAAGGTGCGGAATGTAAACAAGAGGAAGAGGCCAGTAGATACTGAAAATGGTCAGTGGAAGACAGTTTCTTGAGAAGATGGCAAATGTCAACTGAGAATGGAAATGGCCTGTAATAGAATCGTCTGAGCTTCATTTGCCTTTAACAAGTTAGTGAATTTACTGCATGAAATGGAATTGGACAAAATAGGAGGGCAGGGGAGAGGAAAGGAGTATCAGAACCCGGCTTCTCTTCCAAAGTCTTAAGTCCAGTGGAAGCTCCTTCAGAGACAGATAAAAAAGCCTTTCCTGTGGAGCCCGGGAGTAGCTCAGTCAGGCTTCTACAGCCTTGTTAGAGATACTTCATCGGCAGTCAGCGCTGAGTGATCTGAATTTGTGGAAAGGACAAGGAAGAAGCAGAAATAGAAGGAACTTTCTCACATGCTGAGGAAAATGAGAGAGCAGTTTTCTGAAAGTCACCAAAAATGCCTCCAAATGTAACAGTGGTACTAACCTCAAAAGACCATAGCATCACAAAGCATCGAATCTTGACAGTTGAATGTGCTTATTTTCCAGATAAGATTATCATCAAAACATGTTAACAAGTTTGCAGAAACAGCAATTCCACTTGTAGGAATTTGTGTTACATATTTGGACAAATGTCCATATATAAAAACATCTTTCACAGCATTGTTCATAACTGGAAAATTGGAAATGATCTGTATTTGCAACAACAAGAGCTGGGTTAAATAAGTGTATATTTATTGTTCAAAAAAATGTGCCTGGGACACCTGGGTGGCTCAGTTGGTTAAGCGTCTGGCTCCTGATTTCGGCTCAGGTCATGATCTCACAGTTCGTGGAGTCGAGTTCTGAGTCGGGCTCTGCTCTGAGAGTGCGGAGCCTGCTTGGGATTCTCTCTCCTCTCCCTGTCCCTCCTTCTGATCATGCATGCATGCACACTCTTTCTCTCTCAAAAGAAATAAACTTTAAAAAAAAGTCCCTGATAAAAACAGTGTATGGTATAAATCCGCTCTATGTAAAGTAAGTGCATCCCTGGCTCCTCACAGGCAAAACTTGTCAAATGCGTAGAAGGTATAATTTCTAAACTAAGGATACTAAGCTCTGCTAGGTGTGCCCTCTCCCTAACTCACCAGCTTTATCTGGTACACACTTCAGCCTGCCATTCACCATACTTCCTCCCACAGGAGGGCCTTTGGATTTATGGCGCTCGTGTTATGCACACTCTTCCCTTCTGATTTCTCTGAGTTGATTCCTAGGAGTCAATCTTCAGCTCAGTAATCACTGCCCCAAACTTCTAATAACAGACCTTCACAACCAGGTCAGGTCTCCCTACACACGCACCTCTCCTTTATAGCAGTGATCACAGTTGGAGCTTTTTTATATAATGATACATATTCATATCATTACTTGACGAAGGCGTGTCTTCCAGACTGTAACCTTTGAGGCAAGAGCTGTGTCTCTTTTTGCTCAACATCATAGCCAGCAAGAACAGGAAGCTTGTTATGTATTCGGTCCTCAGTAACTGCTGTTTAATCATTGAGTGGAATACGTGAAAATGCTGAGAGTACTAGCTCTGGGCAGTGGCGTTGCTGGTGTTGTTTTTTCTTTGAGTATAGTTGACACATTTTTTGTTTTATTATGTTTTTTCTATGTCTTATGTGTTTTCTAATTATTCCACATTACACCTGTACTTCGTATGCAAGAAAAAGTTATAGAAATGAACACGTGTGTACAAAACCACTTCTTCCTCAAGGTGTACGTAAAACATCCCAAGATTCTTGTCGTCGTGGGTTAAGCAGCGCATATTTGCTCACGGAATGGAAGAGGCATCATTCACCGAAGAACTTTCTTTGTGTAAGGTTTAGTATCACCGAAGGAAAGTACAACCAGACTTAACGTAACAGCCTTTCCACTGTTAAAAACTTCCTGCAGGGGCACCTGCGTGGCTCAGTCGGTTAAGTGCCTGACTTCGGCTCGGATCATGATCTTGCGACTCGTGGGTTCGAGTCCCGTTGGGCTCTGTGCTGACAGCTCAGAGACTGGAGCCTGCTTCGGATTCTGTGTCTCCCTCTCTCTCTCTCTGCCCCTCCTCCACTCATTCTCTCCCTCTCCCTCTCTCTCAAAAATAAACAAAAAACATTAAAAATAAAAACCCTTTCCAAAGACTTTCACCTTAACCATCAGCCTGTACACCTCACCTGGGAGGTCCTCTAGTGCTGCCCCAATCCTGAGGACTTCCAAGTCCAACTTTCAGACAACTGTCCTCTTTACTCTTGTCCTTCCCCTCTAGGCCTTTCCGATCCCCTTTATCTTTCAATCAGCAAGTGCAAACAGTTGGGTCCTACTGTGGGTCAGGCACAGAGGTGAGTCCTATGTGGGGGACAGACAGCCCAGGCTTGGATCCTGATCTCACAGAGCTCGCTCTTCAGGAAGGGAGATGTGAAGGTGCATTATTGCCAACCGTAAGGAATAAAAGTAAAAGTGGGCTGGCCAGAAGGCAGTGCCGGGGAGATTTGACTCTCTCCCGTTCTTTTTCCTTCTTGCTCTTACTCTCTTCTAAAATACAATCTCTCGGGGCGCCTGGGTGGCGCAGTCGGTTAAGCGTCCGACTTCAGCCAGGTCACGATCTCGCGGTCCGTGAGTTCGAGCCCCGCGTCGGGCTCTGGGCTGATGGCTCAGAGCCTGGAGCCTGTTTCCGATTCTGTGTCTTCCTCTCTCTCTGCCCCTCCCCCGTTCATGCTCTGTCTCTCTCTGTCCCAAAAATAAAATAAAAAAAAAAACGTTGAAAAAAAATAAAATACAATCTCTCGTTAAAACGAAACACTGGTGATTCTTTATTTCCACTCCTTTCCAGCTCTTCCCAAAATTAGATCACTAAAAGTGAAAGTAAGCTAAGTTACCCATGCTACTGTGTTAACTGTCTACTGTATAGACATAGAAGCTCCTAGAGTTAACCAAAAGATGGCTAAGAAGCCAGCCAACATAGGTTTTCAGACATACTGATGATCCCTCCAAATACCGCCTTTTTTATGACAATAATCATGCTCCCTTATAGACATGTGTTGCTTGTGTTTGCCTATGTATGGACACTGCAGGAAAACGTCATTATAAGGAATTTCTAGATTCTGTACCCAGGCTAAGCCACATGTGGGTCTGGTCATCTACTCTCTCTGTATGTTGACACTCAGATGTCATATTTTAAATATGACAGTGTCTGAGGTGAGTATCATCCTCATACTCCAATACGAGCTTTCCAGCAAAGCTCAATTTTCTTAGGACAAATTTATCCCTCGTCTATATTGGCAGCCAAGCATCTGGAATGGTGGCTGGTCGTTTCAACATGGCACATCTAACAAGCTGGGAATATGATCCCTGGCTAGAGAGTGTGTTTGTGGGAAGTTACTCTCCCGTGGCTTGCTTCTTTGATCTTCAAAGAGATTATTACATTTCTCCCAGACACTCCTGCCCTACTGTGCCCTACTGTGCCCTACTGTGCCCTACTGTGAATAACAGCTAATATTGAGTGGTTTTTGCGTGCCAGGCACTGTGCTCTACATGGTTTAACATTCCTTTCCCCCCACCCTACACGATCGCAGGTGCTGTTAATATTTCCTTTTACAGGTGCGGAAACTGACGCACAGAGGTCAAGTGGCTTGTGCGATTTCACGGAGTTAGTACGAGGCAGAATTTGGATTCATTCGAGGAAAACTGATGCCAGACCCCCCCCACACACACACACATGCACACACACGTGTGTGTTTAATCATGCTGTTGTGCCATATGTCAACGCATCAGGTTGTAGCTGGTTTTTAGGGTGAGATGGAGATCAGAGTGCTTTTAATTACAAGCGATAGAAATGCAATTTGTGCTTCCTTAAGGGAAAGGGTGTTGCACCGAGTTGGCACCACGGATGTGGCTGGACACCAGGAATCACTGGAACCAGGATGCAAATCCCATCAGAATGCCCAGCC